TACGTACTACGTACGTCTCTCTACTCTCTCTCTCTCTACTCTACTCTACTACGTCTACTCTCTCTCTACTTCTCTACTCTCTCTCTCTCTCTCTCTCTCTCTCTCTCTCTCTCTCTCTCTCTCTCTCTCTCTCTCTCTCTCTCTCTCTCTCTCTCTCTCTCTCTCTCTCTCTCTCTCTCACAGATCTTCTTCTCCGTCTATTTAATTGTCTCTTTTGGTTAATTTTTGTTATCTTATTCTTGCTTATTCTCTCTCGATCTCTCTATGAATTCTTCTTTGCTCTTTTGACATTTTTAAGATTTTTATGAATTCTTATTTACAGTTTTAACAGTTTAGAATTTTTTTGCTGGTTGTGATACTCGTTTTTGAGCAAGTATTCCTCTCTGTGATTCCTGGATGTATTTGGACTTTTAATATGTATTTTTTTCATGTTTAAATTGATTTTTTTCAATCGCATTTTGAGCTGATGGCAGGAAAATTTATGTTCAACATCTCTAATTATAAAATTTCTGCTTAAAAAGGAAGTTCTGCTTAAAAAAGAAGTTCTGCTTAAACCGATGAACATCTTGGAAACCGATGGTCCACAAAATGTTTTACAACGTTTACCAAGATTTAAAATATTTTTTCTTTTGAGATTATCAATGTTTTTGGCATCAAAATAACCTCTTCTAAGTTTTAATTTGATTTTCTAGGCTTTACTTTTAATTGTTTCGGGCCTTATAACTGAGTTATCCATATAAGGGAGCTCTCTCTTTTATTGGGGCCTTTTTTGTTTGTTTCTAATTTCTCAAAAGTATATTAACTTGGCCATGCTTTGGAATGTATCAGAGCTTTCGATTTTCACGAAAGTTTAGTTTCCGGGGGGGATTATAATTTCCCCAAAAAACAATTGCGCTTTCTTGTTTAGTGCAATAAAAAATAAATCTATGTTCTTGAAAATCTCAAATTTTTCCGGCGAAGGGAAAATTTTCAACAGATGAAAGTAGGAAGGCAGTGTAAAGCGTGGTCTTCAAATTATTAAAAATTACATTACTTTGGTAGATGGAATGAGATCATATTATATACATTGAAAATGATTATTATTCATGGTGGTTATTTTGGGTTGCGGTTGACTATAAGTGTGGCGAGATTAGAAATAAACGTTCTTGAGTTGTTTCGTCGCATACAAAATCACAAAGAAAAATACAGTATTCCAATCGGTATAATGCAGTTAAACATTGATATTAATAAGTTTGTCTCACTCCAAAAATCAGTTTCCAATTCGTATAAAACAATAAACTTTGTTTGGAAACAAACCTCCAACAAATTTCTCTCATCAAAAATCTCTTCCAATGAGAGTTGGTTCTCTACAAATTATTTGTAAAAATTAAATCAGTTTTTGTTTTGGAGGTTGATGATAATAAAACTCTTGGTCCCAGTTAAATTTATCTAGCAATTAATACAAAATTAAATATGTAAAAGATCATTTAAACAATGAAAAAGTTTATGAAAGGTTGCAATCTTAAAATGTAGAATTAAAGGTGCACCTTAAAAATCCATCTCAAAAAAATGTAGAATTAAAGGTGCACTTTAAAAATCCATCTCAAAATGTTGTTTAGCATGTTCAAAAATCTTCTAATTGATCGTCTTGATATTGAGATTTGACATTGAGATGCATGAATATAAAAAAAATAAAATAAATAGTGCATTTTGTAGCACATTTCATTTTTAAGATTTTTATATATTTATATATCTAGGTGTTTTATAATTATTTTTAAGTGTAAAGTTTAAAATTTTTTAATTCAATATACCAAAATTATGCATACAGTGAATAATTTTTTATACCAAAATTATGTAATAAAATTCGGACGTCGCTTTAATTTTGAGGTTGTAACCCATCAGGAACCACCACACCATTTAAATAATTACCTCATATACCTCCATATTATCTCCGCATATACGATATCAAAGGAGAGGCAGGAAACAGTGTAGGAAATATATTAAAAAATTAGTTCAAACAAACTCTCAATAACGTAACCAGTTAAAAAGAAGCGATGCATTCAATGAAACCATATACCTATATTACCAGGAGATAACAATTATTTACAAACATCTTATATGAAACTATATACCTATACTATAAGGAGATCAGAATTATGTACTAACTTCTTATGTGAAACCATATACCTATACTACAAGAAGATCACTGTGTGCAACCATATACCTACACTACAAGGAGATCACTGTGTGCAACCATATACCTACACTACAAGGAGATCACTGTGTGCAACCATATACCTATACTACAAGGAGATCACTATGTGCAACCATATACCTATACTACAAGGAGATCACTGAAAAAGTTTACATAGGGTTGCAACCTTGAAATGTAAAACTACGGGTGTGACTAAAAAATCCATCTGAAAAAAAGTTTACATAGGGTTGCAACCTTGAAATGTAAAACTACGGATGTGACTAAAAAATCCATCTGAAAAAGGTTGTTAAAGATCTTCTAGTTGATTATCTTGACATTAAGATGTATGAATATGAAAAAAGAAAAGGACTAAGTTTCAAAAAATAGTGCATATTTCAACACATTATTTAGACCATCCATTTTTAAGATTTTCATACATATATAGATCTACTTGATTTTAACTATTTTTAGAGTTTAAAGTTTTATAATTAGATGTGAAAATAAATTTTCAAATAATGTTAAGAATTTTTAATACCAAAATTATATGTTATGATAAAATTTGGAGATTCACCTTAATTGAATTGTTTAATGTTGCGACCACACCCTTAATAAAAATGTGCATGACAAGAACAAAAAAAACTTGGGGAAGTTTAATATAAAATAACAGGTAGAATTTGAGGGCAGGCTGGCTCATATTGATTTCAGGGTTATCTAATGATCACAATTGTATTTTACATTATATTATAAAATAAAGTTGTCATCATCAGATCAACCCATTTTTAATATGGGTCGATGGATTTATATTATTATGTCAACCCATAGGGTTTTTTTCCAAAATAATATAAAGGTAGGAACCCCTACAAGAGGAAAATAAGGGAGGAGCAATACAATTCACACAGGCCAATCACAAAATTTCATATTTCAGTCAAAAGGATTGGCTAAAACTGGTGTGTGATGTGAATGGAGTAATTTCTCATTGTCCCGGTTTTTATACGGCCAAGCTTGCATAGGTAGAAATCTATTTTTGAAATGGATTTGAAGACATAATTTTAAGAACATGTAATCTGTAACATGAGATCATGAATATGAAAAAATAAAAATTAAAATTAAATATTAAAAATTAAATATTAAAAATTAAAAATAATTTTAGTAAGAAAACTTTTGGATTGTTAGTTTTCATTGTTTTTAGATGGAACACCCACTTGCATCCATCTTTAAAATAGATACTTCACACTTTCTGAACCGCATATGTAGAACTGCAGTCCAGCCCGCATGAAACAATTTTCCTTCTCATTGCTTTGATTAGTTTGGATTGGCCTATAATCAGTTGCATGTCCAATTTAGTTCTGAAAACACTAGTGCTAAAAACCTCGAGGATCGTGAAGAAACAATGGCCAAGAGGGATTAGGTTTACTTACAGGTGGCGGGTTATTTCTCAAGCAGCTATTTTGTGGGAAGTAGGGAGGGAAAGTAACAATAAAGCTTTTGAAGTGTATCAAAGATGAAGGAGGTTATTCTATTTGGAGTTTGGAATTGGTTCTCAGTTTCAAAAGAAGGAAGGGGTATTTATAAGGTTGACATTTCAATGAATCTAAAAAATGTGGTTTTAAATAAATCATGGAAGTTGAGACCAAAGGAAAGGTGGTGCCGACCACAAAAGGGTTGTTTGAAGTTTTTAACTTTGATGGTATTTCCAGAGCTCGCAGGTTTTGGAAGGGTGCTAAGAGATGGGAGAGGATTGGTTCTTTCTTTCTTTCTTGTGCAAGGCCTTGTTGGGATTGCAACCTCAAATGAAACATAATTCTGAAATATATTGCAAGGGGCTGCGATGTATCAAAAGAAAATTTCGAAGGGTTGCATTTGTGGTGGAAGACGATTCGCAAAATATCATAAATTGGAGCAACAAAGTGACGTAGCCTCATTGGAAATTTTATTCTCTATGGGCTGAAATTGTTGATTTATGTCATGATCTAATTTAATCACGTCTACCGGAAAGCGAATTATATTGCGGATGGTTTGACTAAGCATGGGGTATCTTTGCCTCAAATAATTGTTGGAAATGACCACATTATTGTTTGAGCTCTATGTAATTTGTTTTTAAACAATAAAAGTCCCTAACTTAGGGATTCTGGAGTAAAGACGAACCGCTACGATGGGGCTGGGGTTGTGCTGCTAGTACCACTTGAGTTGATAGTTAAGTCCTCCATTCTCACTAAGACTTCCAAAAAATTGACTCTTTCGACAGGAATCCACACTGATCTACCCAAAAGGAGTCAAGACGGACCTTAGAGAGTTAATAAGGGACTTCCTCACATCCTACACTCTTTACCTTGATTGTCTTTTTATTTGCCCTAAAATGATACAGATATGCGCGGCTGCTTCTTTTTTTCCCTTATAAATGCATGCTGACAAAATACCAAAACATTAACCATCAGATAGTATACATTCACACTGCTTTTCCTTTTTTTCAAGCTTTTCCTTCTGTCATGGCTCATTTGCATCTCTATAGGCATTATAACAAACCCCATTAGAGCGCAAAACAGGTGATCCAAAAGCCTAGGTCCCCCTAAAGAACTCCAAAAGAAAAGGTAAAAACCAAGTAGAACCCCTAAATACAAAAGACCTTCTTGTACCTTCATTCAAAAAATGAGCCATCCTTCTAGCCATGGCTAGTCCAATAGCCAGAGCAATTCCAAATAAAGCATGAAGGCGCACACAGTAATACTTGGCCATAAAAATCTTCGTCTTATCCTGTAAGAGATGAGAATCCACAGTTCTGAGAGGCAATAACACATAGGAGCAAGTAAAAGGGTGGGCAAGGACGCTTACGTTATGGTTATCTTGAACGTAGTCAACAACTAGCTTTCCAATCGGGAGGGTTAATGTGCAGAGGACCTAAAATCACTTAGTACTATGAGACAATCAGCATATGGTACCAATGACAGAGAACACCAAAAGGAAATAACAAATAAATCTAGCTAATAATAAAAGAATCAGTGCAAGAACTACACATATCAATAATGATACTTACACAATGCACGATCTTAAAGCAACATGTTTCCGAAAATCCTATGACAAATTTGAGGGATTTTAAAGAGATATTTCATAAGTTATCAGAGACTTACGACACATGTTAAAGGAAGAGCCCTCAATGCACCCAAAACAAATAGAAAGGAATAAAGTATCAAAATGCTGAACTTCACCACCTTCGACCCCTTCTCAGTTCCAATTTGGACCTGAACACAAAGCTTTTCATTACTTCCACAACAATATGGCTATGTGCAATTTAAAATAAGTAGTAATGTTCAGGTTTGGATATTACCAGGGGAGACATTTTACCCACAGCCAGATCTCCTTCAATCTGATATAGTTAAGGTCATACACTTATATTATTTGCCTTTGAAGAACAGGACTGGAGAGAGAGAGAGAGAGAGAGAGAGAGAGAGAGAGAGAGAGAGAGAGAGAGAGAGAGA